TGAGGAAAATGAGATCAAAGGCCATCATTAGGACAGTTGCCCCTTCCAATTCCTCCATGAGCTCTTCTAGAGTGGCCTTTCCTGGTGTCCTGAGGCTGGACTGAGGCCAACCCTAATCTAGGGTGGCCAGCACCGAGCTGCCTGAGGGGTATGGGTTCACACTCCCCAGGGTGAAGAGGAGCAGGTTTCAGCCCAGATCTTTTGAGCCATCCTGTGCCCCTCTCAGATGTCATGCCAACAAGGCCACCTGGGACCACCTCAGAGTCACCAGGACCCACAGTGTGGGAAGGCCCTAAGGTCTGGCTGTAACTGGACTAGTTTCCAGGGACTAGCAGGAACTGAGCAGGACAAGTCTTCCCATTAGGAACAGTCTTACTCCTGGACACGTCCTTGATAAGTAAATTTCACAGCTAAGCAATCAACGAGATAATGAAAGCTCTTAATGAACATGCTTAATCATGTGAATGCCATTTATGACTGTGAGGGCTAAAGGTAAAGGTGGTTAAAAATCAGGCATGATTTAGTTGAGGCGAAGGTTCTAAAGGTTACTTATTTGATTTGAGCAGGACTTTACAGTTAATAATCTTTCACCCTTGTTTCCAGGCATCCCCTGTGGGTCTCGTAAAGTCCCCCTTACAGAAGGGGAAATTACTGTAATGACTGTCCTTTGTGAGCACCTATTATGCACTAGGTACCAGTAGTTAACCTAGAGTATGGTGGTCAGTCGGTAATGGTTGGGGCAGCACTAGAACCAAAGGTCATGCCATTTTCACTCTGTTACTGATCCTTAATCCACAGATGCTGTAGAAAATGGAAAAAACAAAAAAAAAAAAAACAAAAAAACAAAACATTGAGAGGCAAATCCGGGGACTAGGTTCTAGTGATAGTCTTCTCTAAATCACAGTTTATTTTTTTTTTTGTTAGTAGAAGTTTATATAGAACCTACCTGAATCTCAGGATGCTGGTGAAAAATACAGTGTGCTGCCATGAAAGCACTTGAAAATACTTTTCACAGCATGAAGAACTCTGAAAAGTGTTATTAAAGTATTTTTCAATCACACTTGCATTAAGCTTTTAAGAAAATTTATTTTAGCCTTTCAAATTTTTCTTCTTTTAGATGTGCAAAAGATAGAGAAAAGAGGTCTTTAACCCTTCACTCACTCCAGGCATTCCTCTGCCTCTGAAAGAGATTGTGCCACCCTGGCCTGTCCTCTCTCTCTGCCTCCTGGCCTGAGATAGGAGCAGCTTGTTCCAGCGTGCTCTCCCTGCCTTCGCCATCTTTTGCCCTCTCCAGAGGCCCAAACCAGTGGGAATGCTGCACCTTGTACTTGAACTTCCAGAACATGAGCTAAATAAATGTTTTGCCTTTACATGTTCATTATCATAAACGTGAAGGTAACGTAACATGGCTACCCATTTGGGGTAGAATCTATTTTAGGGAGTCAGTCACCCCAAGACCACTGCATAAGGCGGTTTGGAAGGGAGGATTGGGCCATTGGACACTATATAGCTTCCATTTCAGCAGAGGAAACTCAATGGAAGTCTCTGGATTGATGGTGATGACAAAATGTAGCTGCCATTTTGAACTTCTTTTCACCCGGGTGGATTACTGACCACTGTGAAGAAACTGGCAGGATAGTCCCCGTTCTGTTGCTTCTTCCCTTTGGCTTACTTTGAGATTCTTATGTAGATTTTTGGAGAGGAACATGAAGAATGGATTGTAGTTTCTACTTTTCCCAAGTGGGGGACTCACCCCAATAGAAATGCATTTATCACCATCAAGTGTCACACTTATTACAAGGCAGGCTCCTTAGGAAGTTATTTCTAGCTTGCAGAAATGCATGTGAATACGTTTCCAAGTTCTAGTAT